CAAATTACCACAGCCCTCGATGATCAACTTCGTCAGTTTCGCAACATGAGAAGATGTTATTGAAGCGTGCCATATGGTGTTAACATTAATCCAAGACAATTCCAACTCCTCTAGGTTTGCAAATACAACCTGCACAACATACAATTCTTCTTGTGATTAAACTTCGTGATTTTTTTTTAAATAAATATCAGATGATATCATGTTGGAAGCCGTAGAGTTTAGGTACAACTAAAATAAGAGTAATGCAAATTAAAGAGGAGTATTATATTTATCTAGTATTAAATTAATAAAAAAAGGTATTTTGTAGGTCATTCTCTTAAATTATTTTTGAAGGAACCCTTCAATTTGGGTGGGTAGCCCATAAAGATGAAGGTGTGTCAATTTTGGCAAGACTAACTTAATGGGAGTTTCTACCAAAGTTGACCGAGTGATTATTTGAGATTGTGATTGGATAGCACCAAGCCCTTGTGACTCAACTATCTCTTCTATTGAATTACAATTCCATGTCTTCAGCTTGTCTAGTTTCTGAAGCCTTTCCAACATGGTTAATGGGAAAATGTTCAATAGCTTTCCACATGAATTTACCCGAAGGTAATTTAGTTGGCAAAAAGAAGCTGCATCAAGTTGGTCTTGCCATATCTTGTTCAAACTCTCCATACACTCAAACACTATTTTCTCTAAACTAGGGAATGCCAGTTGATGAATTTACCCAATTGCATTAACAAGAAAACATAATCAGAGGGATAATTTAATAAATGATTTATGGAATCTAAATTTTAAAAAATATAAAAATTTTGTGGTGAAACTACAACATATAGAAGCAAAAGCAAGGGAAATGACATGTATAGACATTTGGGATAGTTTAACCTAATTTTGGCAATCAATTCTTAATGGGTAATTTTACTTTAATTTTTAAGTGAGGAAGTGGAAGAATTTCAAGCCACAATCATTTAAAGTAATTGACATATCTATAAAGGTAATTATGTGGAGATAATATAGCAACATCAACATCAAAAGTAAAAGGACTCTGTAAAAGGAAGTAAAATAAATAATTTTTAGGAAATAACTAACCTTTTTACTGAAAAAAGGTTGAATAGGGATTTCAGGTTTTTGTTCACTTCCATTGTCATTGGCAGTCATCTCTTTCCCTTGCTCTCTTGAAAGTGAAGAAGCAAAAGTCAACAGATTTTGGGCAGTCAACTACAGTAATTTGTTTCAAACTTGAAAATCTGAGCCCACTGCTTCCCTCATAGAAAGACGTCAAGATGAAACAAGACTCTAAAAGAATAGTGTTTAGGAGAGGAAATGTCTCCTCAGCTCCTCCTCCTGTTACCACTTGCTCCATCATGGCACACGTTGTGACTTTCAGAACATGCAATTGTACAAGGCCCAATGCCATGGAAGGGAGGTATGTCAAATTACTACAATTACAAACTTCTAGAAATTTAAGCATTCTGAAAGGTAAGTTTTCTTGAGGCTTCTTGTACCAAATTTCAATCAACTCAGGAAATTCAGAAAATTTCAAGTCCTCCAACCCATGATATCTAGCCTACAAGATGCAATAGATTAATAGCTTGTTAAACGACAAGAAACAAATGATAGCAATTATATTAATAACGGTAGTAAGAGAAAAAAAAATGGAAAAATAACTTTGTGCTTTTGATAAAAATTAGATTGGACAAAGACGAAGGCCAAACAAAGATTTGGACAAAGACAAAAAGTTTTTTAATATAGACAGTTACTAGATAAATAAATTCACTTTTCATTAAAAAGAGAAATGAAATTTGCAAATAACAGTTTGTGCCTAATAGTAATTTACAGCATTTCCTCAGAATTTTCTTTAAAATTATGTTTCAATCCTACAACAAATAACCTATTCCAAAAATTTAATTGGGAATTTAAGTTTTTGAATAGTTTCATTTTTATTTTCTCTCTGATCCAAATAAATCAGTCTCTTCCTCCCACAAAACCTTGGTTATTTGCTATGAATAGGTTTCTAGTTAATGGTTCTTTATCTATATCAAGCTCCAAACACAAGTACTATAGATCCTTAAAATTATATTACGATCCCAAGACAAATAATCTATTCCTTTAAATGGCTATGCATACAAGTGTTATTCAAGTCAATAGAAATTTCAAATGTCAGTACAAGGGTCGAAAATGGATATGTGCCAAGGTAAAGCAAAGAACGGGTGTAACAAATTTAACTAACAAAGTGTTACAATTTGTTTTCTTTTAGTTTATTCTTTTGCACAAAACTTGATTTGGTAACAGCCTTTATTATTGGTGCTATTGGTGCTACTCGTATACTTATTATTGGCAAAATTTACATTTTACCAAACAAAGGGCTCGGAGTAGTACATAAATTTACATTTTACTAATCAAAGGGCTAGGCGTAATACATAAAACTTGGAAATTAAGGTAGAAAATGTAAGGAAATATTTTGAATTAATGCACACCTTTTCTGTGAACATCTTTTTTATGGTGAAGTTAAGGTTGCCTTCTCAGAACCCTTCATCTTCATCTACCGTCAATTTCACTTTTTTCAGTTTATTAGTGGTGCTGCATTCCCCTTGAGAGAAGATCTGCATATTTGGGCAACCCATCACAATTACTTCTTCCAAAGATGCAAATTCAAAGCCACAATTCCCTGAGCAAAAGCTTGCTAGTCTTGGTAGACCACGAAGTAGCAAATACTTGAGTTGGATGAAGACAATGCCATCCTTAACTTCTTCATCCACACACGCCACAATTTCTTTTAGCATTTGACATTTACTTATACTCATTTTTGTGAGCTGCACCATGCTTTTCGCTGTTGAGTATTCAATTAAATTTATGAATGCAGATACTTCCAAAGTAGTCAAATTCTTGAAAGCTATGAAGGATGGCCCTAAATTCTTTAATTTGCTGCACCGCAACACTTCCAAAGTTTTTAGGTTATAGAAAACTGACTCCAAATTTGATTCTTCCTTCGACAGATACATTAACTCATGAAGTTCAGATAACCTTAATTCACTTAATTGAGTAAGTGCAAGTGCAGGTTTTTCCACACTTCCAAGTCCTTGACATTTGAATATTTCATGAAAGGGAGCTTTACTCACAACAAGCTTTCGAAGATTCGGAGATTGAAACAGAAAAGGCTGGACATCTGATTGCTCAGGGAACTGGATGAGTTCAAGAACTTTTATTTTGGGAAAATAATCCCCTATAATATATTGTCTTTGCCGTATCTCTTTCATATTATCATTCCATTCCAATGTTAGTTCTTCTAGACTAGGGAATGTAACCTGAAAAATGAAGAAGGATGCAAAATGTTATGGAATATAAATAATTTTTATTTACAGAAAATATGATCTCTATAAATTTTAAAAAAGTAGTTTGGTTTTCTTAAGCAGACAAAAAAAAAAAAAAAAGTGAGAGTATTACAGATTATACTTAATGAATATGTTCAAACAAGAGAAAAGCTTTACTTGAATGCAAATGCATCTTACATATGACCAAATTTTTTTGAATCATTGTTTAGAGCTCTTACCTTGCTTGTCCCGAAGAGAGAATATTCAATATGAATTTTGAGCTGGTCATCTCCGTTTGTTCTTTGGGAGTTTGGGAAAGCAAATATCTGCACTTGATCACATCCACACACCTCCAACTCTTTCAATGATGGCCATTCAGTAGAATGCATGTGATGGCAAAAGCCCTTCAGTTTGGGCAGCTTATAAAGATCAAGGTGTGCCAATTTTGAAAACACAAACTTTGCGCTAGATTACATCAAATTTGGTGGAGTGCTTTTTTGAGCTTGTAATTGGCTAGCACTAAGCCCTTGAGACCCAAATATCTCTTCAAGTGAATCACAGTTCCATATCTCCAACTCATCTAGTCTTTGAAGGCTTTCCAGCATACTAAATGGAAAAATATTCAATAGATTTTTACAAGAATTCACATTAACATAATTTAGTTGGCAAAAAGAACTTGCAGCAAGTTGGTTGTCCCATATCTTATCCATGCTCCCCATTAATTGAATTACTAGTCGCTCTAACTTGGGGAATGTCACCTAAAAAGTTACAAAATTGCATTAAAACTAAACAGAATAGAGACATGATAAAATGAAAAATTTTAGGAATCTAATTTTCAAAAGAATTTAAAACTTTATGAGGCAATCCATAAAGTAGCATTACAAGAAATTAACAAGTGAAAAAAAAAAAAAAAGGAAAACCAAAAAGAAGAAATCACCTTCGTGTCGAATAGAGGAGGTGTACAAGTGTTTTCTTCCTTGTCAGAAGTGGCTGTGATGCGTTCAAAACTAGAGCTTGAGATGAACGTTTTCAATACAGGGCACGACTGGATCAAAAGTTGTGAAAGACAGGGGAATCTGATGTAATTCCCATAGCAGAATCTCCTCAGTTTTGGAAGGTTTTTTATCAGCAGCAACCTCAACTGAGGGAAAATCAAATTCCTATTTTCTTCTACTTTCTCCATAAAAAGAAGTACCTCTCTCATCTTCTTGCATTCCCCTATTTCAAGATGTCCAAGCATTATCATATCTCTAGCCATAGAAGATGTGAATAGATATTCCAAATTATCACAGCCCTCAATGATCAGCTTCGTTAGTTTCTCAACATAGGAAGATGCTATCGAAGCGTGCCAAATGGTGTTAACATTAATCCAACATAATTGCAGCTCCTCTCGGTTAGGAAAAGCAAGCTGCACAACATACAATTCTTCTTCGATCGGATTAAAGTTCATCATTTTGCTTATAGATAGAAAAAAAGAGAAAAAAGAAAAAAAAAAGATGATATCGTGTTAAAAGTCGTAGAGTTTAGGTATGACTAAAATAAAAAGTAATGCAAATTAAAAAGGAGTACTATGTTTATTTAGTTTTTTTAAATATATACAAAATTTACGTCATTATTTAATACACTTCTTTAATGAAATTATAAATAATGAGAATTTTTTTTCTCTATAAATGCGAAATGGTCCTCTAAGCATTTTGGACTTGGGATTTGGTATCGGAACATAAATATTTTAATAATAAATAAAATAATACATTTTATAAATTAAATTTATTATTTTATTAAAAATTGGATTAAACTAACTGTTATAGATTAATTATTCTACTAGGCACATTATTTCATAATAATTACCTAATTTATTCCTATTATTAACATATAAATAAGAGTTACATAAACATGAGCTCTATACATAGAACATGTCACATTGCTCAACTCAAGAGAAGTTCCTCCACATTTTTCTAGTTTCTACCCTTACTCTATCTTCTACATATTCTTGAGCAAAGAAAGGTGTCTTGAGTTAAATGGTTGTATAAATAGTGCATATTTATAAAGTGTCTTGAGTTAAATAGTTGTATAAATAGTGCATATTTATAAAGTGTAATTATAAAGTTGTAGTATTCTAAGATGACATGCTATATATACTTTTATTGCACAGGTAGATCTACTCTACTCCACAAAGACATAAAATCATTTTAAAGTAAGTTCTTTATATCTATTTTGATGATGTTTTATTATTAATATTTTCTGATAAATTTATTAATTATTGTTTTTATTTAATTTTGTGACCAATGCACAACAATAAAATGATGAAGAAGAATGTTTGAGGAACAACATTTACTCCTTGATGGACACCTTAAACTGTATGAAAGATACATCAAAGGCAGTGCTACTGTCCAGTCATGAATAAGGAAACAAGAAATCAGAAGAAAGAAACTACTGATCACAAAATAAAGAGATTGAGCAACAGTCAAGAATATCAGAAAAATGGAAACTATTGATCATAAGGCACAAGATTGAGTAACATCGAAAGGCAATGCTCCTGTACATAAATTTGGGCATAAAATAAGGATCTGAATTTACACTTGTATAGAGACATATATATGCTGATGTCTTGTACAGAAATAATACAGTGAATACAATTGAGTATTCTCAAAAACTGTCTTTTCTTTAGTTTTCTTCATAAACTTGGGTATGGTTCTTGAAGTTGGCTGAGTGTTACCTAGGGAAGATTGTATTGGTCACCCCTAAGCCAAATGGAGTTTGAAAGTAGCGGTTACAACTCTTAATCAGGAAAAAAAAAATAATGGGTTTCTCTATAAAAGAATGGGTTCCACATTACGAGAGAAGACATAGGCGTCATGAATTAAAACCTCCATAAATAGAATAGGTTTCTCTTCTTACTCATTAGTTTCCACATTATATTTCTTTGCTTGATTTAACAGAATTTAATGAAATATTGAAGATGGCCTGGAAAATAAGAAAAATGAAACAATTTAATGAAATACCTGTTCATTGAAAAGTGGCATTTGCCTGCAACTTTTGTTGAGACTACTCAATTTTGGTAGATGTTGCAATCTCAAGCACCGTAGCACTTCCCCGAACTTTAGTTCTGTTGCTTCAACTATATCACTACTGCTCCCTTGCTCCTCGTCGTCAACAATCTCTTCCATATTGCTGCACTCGTTCACTGAAATTTCTTGTAGACGGAGAAGCTGTCTGGCTATAGAGGAAGAGAACAAATTCTTTACCTTATCACAACACTCAATGGTAATAATTCTTAAATTACTAAAAGCAGTATCTTTGAACCGGCCTTGAAATATCTTCTCCAAATTGATCAAATTCTGGAGAAATAATACTTCCAACCTGGGAAATGCATTGTAAGGAACCCCCTCCGCTGATTTAATGATATGTTGAACCTCTGCAGCATTACAGACATAGAGATGCTTCAAATCTGGAAAACCTTCAGTATTTAACTCATCAACCACGTTCTTTACACCTGCCAACTCCCTTAGATGTAGCTCTTCAGTCATCTTCAACAACATTTTAACTAAATAGTTAAAACTAATGGATGCATTTAAACGCAACTCCAACATTCTTGAGCTTCCATACTGGCATTCCCACTTACGTCCAATCAATATTTTGAGTTTTTTCAAATTTGCGAAGAACAAATCTTTTGCGATCATCCGAATATCAGGAATGCATACCTCTTAATTAGTCAATTTCTTCAAATGCTTCAACTCAGCAAGGCTCGCATTATTCTTTGATTTCCATTTTCCTCAACCTCCCATCCGTGAAAGCTGTTTCTGAGGTACAGTTCCTCTAATATGGACATATTTGCCAAGACACATGGGGGAATTATTTTGAGTTTAGTACAGTTACTCAAATCTAATAACTTTAGCCGAGTCAACCGCCCAATTTCCCTTGGAAGCTCTTCAAAATCAGATCGCCAAAGGCTTAGAATTTCTAAATTCTTCAGCTCTCCAATGATACGTATGTCCCCCAACACGCTTTGATCCAAACATAATGTATGGAGATTCTGCAAGAGGCAAATTGATGAAGGCAGGGATGACATATGCATGTGAGTCAAATCCAATACCTTGAGTCTTGGCATTCCCTTGAAAAAATGTGCTGGAATTTGCAGAGAAGGATTTTTATTTTCCAACCGAAAGAGAGTAAGACGGGAGCTTTCTAACTCTTCAGGTAACCCACCAACATTAGAATGTCGCAGACAGATCCATTTGAAATCTTTCCTTGTCTCCATGTCTGACCAGTCGTTTGGTACATGATCCCCTGTTAGCAGCAACCCATGACGATCCCTACTTGTAATTGATACAGCCACATCATGGATAAGGTCATGCATATCAAAACAATTATTGTCAGAATCATCAATGAGCAAAGAAGAGGCTCTGAGCTTGCTTATCAAAGTAAATACTTCATTTCGTGCTTCCTCTATTGTATTAGCAAATAAGCCTAAGCCCACACCATACTTCAACAAGTCTTGAATAAGAAACTCGTGACCCAATAGGCAACAAAGCAAAAATGTTTTCTTGAGCTTCTCGCTTTCCAAATGAAAATAACTGACCTCAATAGCAGAATAAACTTTTGCAGATATGCCATCAAAGTTTTCTGAAGAGGGCCTTTTTAGAATTCTCACGGCATCCGTCCATTCGTAAGGCTGCTTATTTTTCAATGCCTTTGCCATTGTTGTAATTGCAAGGGGCAAGCCCCCACAGTCCCCGATAATCTCAATGGCTGCGTTATGTATATCATCATTCTCTGCTCGGTCTCCGACTATCCTTTTAAGCAACTCCCACGCTTCTTCATCTTTTAATTGATGTAGGGGAAAGTTTTGCTGAGAACCCATCAGATCTGATAAAACATTAGAATCCCTGGAAGTTAGCAGAATTTTGCATTCTGCATATTCTTCTCTTGACGAGCTCACCTCAATCGATTTTGGCTCGTTTCTAGGAGGAATTCCAAGCTCCTCCAAATCTATCCCAGGTCTCCAAATATCATCCAGAATGATTAAAACCTTCTTCATTTTCTTCAGCCTTCCTTTAATACGTTTAGCAGCATCCTGAATTGTAATTCCATTAGGAAGCCGATCTAGACCCAAGCCACGGGCAATTTCAACTTGAATTTTTTCCAATTCTGCATTCCTTGAAACAAGAGCCATAACTACCACATCGAACAGGTTGTCTTGCTCTGCTTTTCTTTTTATTTCTTTGGCCAGCATCGTCTTTCCCATGCCAGGCATCCCGTGCACCCCGATAATGCTGCTGCTTCGACTCTGCAGTGCCTCCATGACCCTCTCCGGAGCATCCTTTCTTGAGTAAAAGTCCTCAAAACCTTTGACAGGCTCGGGCACTTCTTTTGGTGGAGCAGGAATGTGGGAAAGTGGGAGGTTGAATCCACGAGCTTCATTCACAAGTTTATCAATAGTCTTGGAATTCTCCTCTGCTTTTTTGCTGGGTTGATAACGAGATTTGGGATTGAGACACAGCCCAAAGAAACACTTCTTCTTGGCATTTCCTTCAGCGTCAGCTACTAATTTGTCTGCGGCTTCAATGCGATCGTTGGCGCTGGTCAGCCAATTCCTTAGCTTTTGTACAATCTTTTCCCCCCTTCTTTCCACAGCTTCAGCATAGTTCTCCGCGGTGTCTTTCTCATCCTTTAGCTCAGCAACTTTGTTCTTCAAATAGTCAACATTATTGTCGCACTTGAACACAAGAATAATTGGCTTTGAGATAAGAGTGAAAATTTCACTAAACAAGTTCCCAACAAAATTTCCAGCAGCATTCTGACAAAACGCACAAAAACAAGGCTCGGGCATCTTCTAATTCCTTTTTTTTTTTTTTTGAGTTTGGAAAAATATATAGGTTCCAAACAAGAATAAAGACACAAGGAATAAAAGAAGCAAATGAATCAGATGAGGATATGAAACAAAGGATGAGAGTAGTGAAAATAAGCTGATTTTTAGTAAAGGGAGGCAAAATGAGGTGCAGAGAGTAGCGGGAGAAGGATTGATCGGCAAACAATGGAGGGAACTGAGTTGGGATGAAATCAAATCAAATCAAATCAAATCAAAAGAAAGGGCGAGAAATGAGCAACGTGTGAGGATGAGGTGATCTGTGTAAAGTGATGTGAAGACGCGGTGCAGAGAGGAGCAGCAGAAGATGATGGAAAGAAGGATTGAAAAGAGAAAATTTTTCAGCAGGGAAAACTTTCTCCATACCTAATACAATCTAAAGATAAATATCTATAAATTTTGAGAAAATGTACAAATAAAAATATAAATTATTATTTTTTAATTAAATATAAGAATTTTTTTACATTTTAAATTAAATAATAAACTTTTATATTTTTATTTTAAAATATTAATTTTATCATTTTATCTATTTAAGAATATAAATTTTATATCATTTTACTTAAAATTAATATTTACCACATTATTTCCCAATCTAATAGGTCTTTAAATAAAAAAAAAAATAAAAAATTTATTTCTTAGGAAAAAAAAAAGAAATTCGTTCCCTCATCTACTCTAATTTTCTCCATACTTTTTTTAACTAAAGTTAAATTATTTTCTCCATAAATTTTAAAACTTATCAATAAATTAATTTTAATATGAAGTTTTATAGAATAATAGAAAAGTTGATTTGCTTTTTAATGCCGTCTTGAGCTTGAACTCAATTATAGGATTCGGTTCACCAAAACGAGATAATTTGCAAGTTCTTAATAGGCAAAACATGCAAATTACCGCTTTAACTTCTCATATGGTGGCAAATTGCCCCTTTGACTGAATTCACACGTAAACTAACCCTCAAACTCATTTTCGGGGCCAAAAAAGCCCTTCTATACATTATTCCGTTAAATTAACGTTGGCCTCATTAAGAGGGCCCTGCTTGACAATTCACTCACTCCACCTCATCAAATTTAGATTAAAAAAACAATAATCAATGAAAAATTTAAATTAAGCTTCAAAATCCTTCGAATTTACCAAACATGCCTCCAATCCTTCAACAATCATCTTCTGCAAATTCTTATTCCAATAATAGAACATGGGGCCAACAGCAAGAGTGAAACCAAGCTAAAGTTTATACCCATTTGATGGAGTTTATACCCATTTTGATGCCCAAAACCAATTAACAAACCAGACCGAAAACTCCTTTTTCTTGTTCATCTTCTTCTTTTCTTCCCTCTTTTCTTCTCCCTTCTCCATCTACGGTTATTTTGTCCCGTTTACGACTCGACGATTGCCAATCGACAAGCCCAAAACCAGTTCAGATGGTGAAATCCAGCCAAGCAAAAGCTACATCATGTCCTATTGTTCCATCAGCGGCGAAGCCATGCCGAACGAAAGCAACACCACCAGGTTCGCAAAAGAACAAAATGAAAGGAAAAAGAAGGTAGTGAAGGAGAGGAATAGCGGAGATATTGAGGCGGAGACAAAGGGGGTCAATGGTGAGGAGTAGCAAAGAAAAAGGCTCTTATTTTGGTGGTTTTTCGTGAGCAAAGATGAATTTTGCAGGGATATCAAGATTAAGTTGAGTATCCGGATGGAAGAAAGATGAGTTAATTTGGTTAATTACGAATTAATTAATGTTTAATATTTACCATTTAAGAAAAAAACATCTTAATATTTAAAATATTAAGAGTTTAATTATAATTATTAAATATATAAAATATAATATGAATCTTACTGATTCTTATCTTCTCTAACCAGGGAAAAATGGGTCGAATTATTATGCCATTACGGTGCTAAGTGATCATTATCTTCTTTAACTATGAATCTATTTAAACAGAAAATAACATAATTTATAGTTAAACCTCAACTAATTGTTTAGTTACATTTATCAAAAAAAAAAAAACAAAAAACTAATTGTTTAGTTACAGAAAATTATGGTAAAAAAGAATCATGTGCCCCTTTAAAGCTACGTCAAACATGATATCATAAAACTTTGTTACATCAAAAAAAAAAAGAAATCACTTTCTCATAAATTATGCTGTGTAATCATATAAAGTTAATAAAAAAAAAAGGGTATGATTTTTTCTTTTTAGAATATACAGACAAACTCAATAAACTTAAACAGCACAATACACGTAAATTGGGAAAAAAAACTAGAAGAAAGTTGGTTGGCAAGCGACATGATCATTTGCATCGGAAAAGGAGGACCAAGTTAAGCCCTTGTAACAAGTTTCTGAGATCTTGACACGCACAAAGAAAAAGAAGAAAAGTACTAGTCAATAGAATGTCGTTTTAACGTGGTGCTAACTAGTCACTAGACAATTAACAAATTGTCAAAATCCCAACTAAACAAGACAGTCTGCTTCAATTATAAAGGTTGCTTTTTCTGAGTGGTTGCTTGGTGGAATAGAAAAATTAAAAAATGTAGACATGTCAAATACCCCACTTAAAATTCTCAATGACTTGTAGCACATACTGAGACGAGCGAAACAAAGTCTGCATCCGTCGTATGAACTGAAGAAATTTGGAATTTGATTTGGATTCCACACCTATGGCTGCACCATTATTTTTTCCAGATTCCAAGTTACTATTCCACAAAGAATAAAACTCACCTGTTGTTGCCTAAGGTGGGTCCTAGGAAGGGGAACTGATGGATTTAGATATAGATAAATTTGCTATTCAGTGGATGTTCAGTGGAAAACTCAAAACTATCAATAGTTTGAGGAAGGGACGTAGTGGTACACATGCTAGGATTACGCTCATGCAATTCATATATAGAATACAAAATCAACAAAACAAGGTAATGGTTCATTCACCCCCTTTTCTTGCTCCTTTTTTTTTTGGGCCAAAACCCCACATTCTATTGAATTCTAACAAATAACACACTGAATTGATACTAACTTAAATTCTTCTTTTCGCTCATTCAATAACCCCAGAAAAGGCTTGGGTTCCCCTTGTTACAAAATACATCACTTTTGCCTCAGATTTTGGTCTTTTATTCTCCCTTTTTTTTCTGGCAGTCTCCTCTTTTACTCTGTTAATCTACTGCTTTTTCCACATTCCAAATCCCTCTGTCATTTGATTGTTGATTTTTGGCTTAATTATTTTGTTGATCTTTTTCTTTTGTATGTTTATTAGCAATTGTTTACCTTAAATTCGCCGATGCAAGGACTCTATTAAGGACTAGAATTTCAGTGATGGTGGCTTGAGAATTTGAAGTGTTCTTAAACAAAATGGTATTTCAGTTGACAGTAGATTGGTATCTCTATAAAGGGCAAATGAAAAATTAGGAAGTCCTTAAATACTTATAAGTTTAATTGTTGTCATTAAATATGTAAAATATAATATTAACCTTAATTTTATCAAATTTATTATAAGTTGTTATTAGACATAAAACACCAGAACGCTATGATATTCCCTTCTTCTTTGCTATAAATCAAAAGAGATATTTCTTCTGATTAACTACTATTGTCATTTTGATATTGTACGTACAACGGTTCGGTTGGGACCTAATAGAAATTTTAAGAATCTGTGGCAGTAATTGTTGCGGATGTACATTCATGCTTTATGATGACTTTTACATGACGGTAAAGTATAAATTGCATCTAACTAATATTTTTAATGGAATGGTTGCAGGTAGTTTTGAAGCGGGTTTCTAGGCCATTTGGGCAAAATGATCACATGTTGAGTCTGCAGTAAAGATCTACCTCTATTAGTGTTGTCTCCAAAATCTCTCTTTCTGGTCACAGGGCAAATAATACTGTAAAGGCGTGCTATTTATTTTGCTCAAAGTAAAAAAAAAGGATTTTCGGTGTTCCTCACTACCTCCAAGTCTGAAATTCGACTATGAGTCAATGAAAGAGTATCGGTTAAATAAATTATTAGATGCATCTTGATCAGATGATTGTTGTAAAAATGGGGGTGCATTTCTCCATAAAGATCCATAAATAATTGTCCTGAAAGAATATCAGAGACTTCCCACAATTAGAGCCAAAATGTTAGTTTACTGATCAAAATAAAAGAGAAAAATGAAGAAAAAGATAAGAAAGAAAGTGCATGACAGGAAAACTAAATTGCAGAGAGAAAGCGTGAAAGTGTAAAGAATGAAATAAAAGATGAAGTATAAAATAAAATTTAAAAGAAGTTAGAAAGATGAATTTGGGGCAAAGTGCAGTAAATTAAATTGCAGAAAACTAAATATATCGAGTGGAGATGTTCGCAACGAAATAACAAAAATCAAAGTTAAAACTAATGGTAGCATGGAGTTAAAAACTAAATTAGAAAAGCTGTTTGAGAAAACTGGATCTAAACTAAGACATTGTTAAAATGTAGATAGTGTTGGCTAGTTGTGTGAGAGGCTCATTCTTTACTTTGTTTCTTCTCTACATATTTATAGCAATAAACACCCCTTTGCAGCATGCTTGAAGATCTGTGATAGCAATCTTGAAAAACCAACGACAATGTGATATCTTAAACAAACTGATTAATTTGTTGATGCTCTCGATTATCTTCTTGAAAATTCACAACAAACGAACGACTTTGCTGCAGTTGTGGAAATAACCACTCAACCTTAACTAGAGAGATTTACTCCAACTACTTTCAACCAATGAAATTTTTGTCAACATGGATGACACATGGCACCATTCTTTTCTTCTTTTTTTTTGCAAAAATGGGTGTAGACAATTAGTTTTCAGGTATAAAATGCATAAGAAATTTTGTGAATGTTCTTCGTGTGTAGTTTAGGAAAATCTAATGCAATTTAAGGTGAGTCCACGAAAGTGTGAAAAAAGTGAAACTAATCAATTGATTTTTTAGAAATTAGTGAGATGATTGTTAAAAAAAAAAAAAAAAAAAAAAAAAAAAAGAAAAAAAAAAAGAAAAGAAAAAGAAATCAGTTAGATGACAGTATGCCACACTAAAAAAAGCTAAAAAAAAAAAAAGGAAAAAGAATGATTCCTAACATTCTACCTCTTCTTGATCATGTATTTCTGTATAACATATCTCAAGAATGGTTTAGTTATAATATTGGATACTTTTTCATTTTTAATCTTTAAAATGGATTTGTTTTTTTTTTTTGGTAAGTAGGTAGCGTATAGAAATGATAATAAGAATTTGATTAGATTAAAGATTAATTATAGGTAGTATAATCAAGTTTTTATATATATTTTTTAGTTGTCTTTTTTTCTGAGTATTTCTTGTTTGAATTATTTTGTGCTTTAAAAAATCTATATATTATAATATAAGAATTATAAACTGTTACAATACTTCT